TTTAAGAAATAAGTACTTGAAACTGGCTTCAAACCACCCCAAAGAAATACCTAATTTACTTCATAAAAACGTATTTGGCTCCTGTTCTGTGGCCACATGGACACAAAAAGTTCTAACTTCCTAATTTTAGTAACAGCTCTGCCTGTTATAGACTTTTACTTTTTTATTTTTCTTAAATTCCATTGCCCTCGAGGTTGAGGGGACCAAAGGGGGGCCAGGCGGGGCTGAGAACAGGGTGGGGACAGGCTGCTGAGGCCGAGCCACACTCCCGCCCACAGGTTTTCTACGCGTCTTTTGTACAGTTGTGAGCATTTGAGACCAGCCTCCGGGCACCTGTGTTCATTGTACAAACTACCTGAGTGATTAAAGTTTAGCTTTTCTACGGGGAAAAAATAAAAGATCTCAGGAGGAGATCAATATTAGTTCATTAAAGATGGAAAATGCACCTGGCCGGTGTAGCTCAGCGGTTGAGCATTGACCCCAGAACCAAGAGGTCACAGTTTGATAGCTCATTCCCCTGTGTGGAGCATGCAGGAGGCAACTAATAGACAGTATTTCTCTTCTCTCTCTAAAAATCAATAAAAACATATTTTAAAAAAAATATGGCCAATATGATGGTAGAGATGCCTACTGACCAGTATGAGAGGCCAGAGATACTCTAAGCCTCAATTTTGGGATTAGGCCAGTGGTTCTCAACCTTCCTAATGCCGCGACCCTTTAATACAGTTCCTCATTTTGTGGTGACCCCCAATTTCATTGTTACAAATTGAACATAATTAAAGCATAGTGATTAATCACAAAAACAATATGTAATTATATATGTGTTTTTCAATGGTCTTAGGCGACCCCTGTGAAAGGATCGTTGGACCCCCAAAGGGGTCGCGACGGATTAGGCGAAGGCTACCTACATATGATACTTAGACTTGTCTTGAAAGATGAGTAGAGGAAGAAGTTTTAGGATAAAGACACGCCATAGAAAAACTATGTTCCATTCAGTCTTTGAGTCATGAGGCAGGGGTCTCGGGAAACAAAACAGTCTGACTTGTACACTAGGTCATGTACACTAAGGAGCTTGGGCTTTTTTTTAACAAAAGGTAAGAGTCACTGAAATGGTTTAATTGGTGGACCTACTGCTCAATCTGATGTATTAGGAGGTGAGGCCTTTGGGAGGTGCTTAGGTCATGAGGGTGGAGCCATCAGAATGGGATTAGTGCCCTTACAGGAGAGACCCCAGAGAGCCCCTTCCTCCCAAATGCCACATGAGGACACAGTAGGAAGACGCTGCCTGTCAACCAGGAAGTGAGTTCTCACCAGACACCAAACTGGCTGGGGCTTTGATCTTGGACTTCCCAGCCTGCAGAACTGTGAGAAATAAATGTCTGCTGTTCATCAGCCACCCAGACTGTGGTACTCGGCTTCACAGGCTAAACTAAGACAGCTGCCCTCACATTCCCACCAATATTGTGACTTGGGGAAAAGGGGCTTTCCACAGATTCATTGTTTGGTTGTTTCAATTCCATCTGTTTAGCTGGCTTGACAAGAAGATCTGAGACAGAATTCTGACATGTGCCGTCATCGACTGATTGCCCTTCTGCCCTCTTCCCAGCCTATCCTAAGCTGTAGGAGACTCTAATTTTATCTAAGCATAATGATTCTTGCTTTATCCCCAGCTTGAGCATTGCAGAACGTAACATTTTCATTGAGGTTGTTTGAGTATTTAAAAAGAGTTTGGGGCTCAAATATTTGAAGTTATTGATATTTTTTGTCTCCTCATTCTCCCCACTTTGGTTGACTTATGTAGAAGGGGCAGCCCTGGTCTGGGGCGGGGGGGGGGGGGGGTGCTTGGGGTGTGTGCTGGGTCTGGGGAAGCTTGTCCACAGATGGTGGTGAGAACTTGGTCAGGATGAGCCTGCCCACAGACTAAACACCCCTTCCTACAAGTTCCCCAGGAGCTCCAATCCAGAGGGACAACCCATACCACACCCTGACCTGAGGATTTCACATGGAACCGTTTGGAAACCAGGGTCTGGACCCCTCACCTCCCAGGACTGACTAGCTAGAATCACCCTAGTGGTCAGAGCACCTGCTTAACCCTGAACTTACAACCTACATCACTGGAAGATGAGAGCGTGAGGGAGAGATGGTGCAAAAGCAGGAAACATCGAGAGGTATAAAGATGTTAATGAATCAGAGACACCCAAGAAAAAGAATCCGATTTGAAGTTAACGCAGAGATGAGTGTGAGAGAGAGTGTTCATTTCTGGAGCCCTTGGGTTTCCATGCAGAGGAGGGGACTGTGCGGGAGTAAACTTTATCTTCCCTCTGCCACCTCTTGTGCACAGGACACAGGCAGGGTGGATACTGTGGCCCTGATTCCACTGCCTGTCCCCTGTGATAGTGCAGATCCCAACAACAACAACAGTGCTGAAAACTTCTAAATCTTTTAAAAAATGCAACATTTTCTCCACCTTAAGTGTTAGAAAAACAGAAAATTAGGGAGCATTTTCTCAGTCCATTAGGATTTTGTGTCTTGGCAATTATCAGTTTGGCTCAAAAAAATCACAAAAATTCTATAAAAAAAAAAGAAAGACTGACAATTATTGTGAAGCATCTGTTTAAAAGACAGGATTGTTTAAAAGATATAGAAGTGCTCAATCCCCATATGTGGTCATCTAACTAAGTTCCAACAAAGTGTTAGAAACTTTCTGTCCACACAACTTACTATAGGAAGAAAAAAATGCTGTAGGTATTTTACTTGCCAGAAGATGGCGATAGAGTCTAGTTATATAAAGAACAGAAGCCTACGCCAGTTTGGGGGTTTTGGGGGGGGTTTTGTGTGTGTGTGTGTGTGTGTGTTTTTAAGTTAGAAGCCTAAGCCTCAAGAACAGAAGAGCAAGAGTGGAGAGTGCTTTAGATGCAGAGGCAGATGAGTAGAGTACGTCATGGCTAAAAGGCAAGAAGCAGGATTTAACAACAACAACCACGTATTTCTGTATTGACTGCCGTGAGCCCTTGCTGGTCAGTGTGCTCTCGGCAGCAGCAACAGCACCACCTGGGAGCTGGTTGGAAAAGCAGAATTTCAGGGCCACCGGCTGACTCCAAGTCAGTGTCTGCATTTTAACCTGATCCCCAAGCGATTCATATGTACATTCAAGCTTGAGGAGAGGGTCCGTGGCTCTCAACATTGGTTCCACAAGAAAATAAACAGGAGAGTTTATACCACTCAAGGAATCCTACTCTCACAGCTTCTAATTTAATTAATAAGACATCACTCGTTTTTTTTTAAAGCTACCTAGGGTATTATGTAGGGTGGAGACCCTAACCTCTGATTCCCAATTTATGGCTGAATCTACCCTCATCAGCAAAGTTAAGGGTGTGTTATAGCCGAAGTTCAGGGAAAGACTAGCCCTAACAGAGGAGTTAGTTCATCTCCAACCAGGACTCTTCCTTACTCACTGCAGTCAGGGGATCAAGCTGTGCCTTCCTCACTGAAGATGAAATCACAAGCATACTGTGCTGGAGGTCAGTGTGAATGATTCCAATTTTACATAAGTGATTGGAGTTATTCATAGTTTTATCAACACTTCACATTGTGCTTGGAAACAAGGTTATTTGTATTTCTTAGGCTTAATACAGAATTCTATTTTAAATAGAAAGTATATAGATATTTAAATTTATGTAATATTCACTTTTACTTGGTTAGCCATACTTCTGAGAATCCCAGCCATTCTAGAAGTAACATCCTTAGGGTAATACATTTACAAGCCAAAATGCATTAAATGACATCATAAGTCTTTTGTCTCTAATAACTGGGCACTTTAAACATTTTTTAATATCTCCCTGTGACCCCAAGTTCCTCAAACACATCTCTACCTCTTTCCCAATAATGCTTTCCTTTCCTGAATGCTCATCAATAACAAAGCCACTGTTAGATGATCTGCTGTACAATCTTAATGCTTTACTTCCCTTTATGTATTCCATTCATTCTTCTGTCCATCCACATGTCATCCACTAGTCCATCTGTCCACCCACCCACTCACCAACCAGCCATGCATTCATCTATTAGCCATCCATCCACCCATCCACTCACCAATCCATCTTTCCAAGTTATGCTTACGTTTATATGAATAGCTTCCTGATTTACACATTCTCAATGGATCAAATTAATTCCTTAAAGATGCTTTCATCATATTACTCTTTTGTTCAAATTTAAAAAATATTTCAAATTAAAAAAAAAAACTATTCCCTGGTACACATCCAAAATCCTCAGCCAAGTTTTAAGACACTGGTCCTGGCTCATTCTAATCTCTACCTAACACATTTTAATAATATGCATGCTCCACTCACCATACAGTCCTCAAAACAAATCATTTTATCACAACATCCATTCTTCCATTACTATTGTTTATTCTTGTATAATTATTGTTCACTAGTATATACCATATACTAGAAATCATAGGTTCAAAGGTACAGCCCCTGGTATTTATTATGAATCCTATACTTTCAATGTATAAACATACAGAGAATGCTTATGTTGCAATTTATAGAATGCCCAGGGCTACAGGGGCATAATGCACAGCACAGTCAAGTCTGAGAAAGGGATCAGAAAGGTGCTCTTGAGCCTTAGAGGATAAACAGGGATTTGCCACAGTAAAGAGGAGCAGGGCTTTGTTTCAGCTCTCTCCCCTCTGCCTAACTAAGTATGTCCATCTTCTGTTTCAGCTACTTCCATGACACCATTTCCTTATCACTCCCAAGTCACTGCCTCTAAAACCTGTAGCACTTGTAGTCTGCTCCACTCAATTTAGAACTCATATGTAATTAATGTTGTCTGAATTATTCTTCCCATTGCCCCTTTTATGTCATTAACAGACAAGATGTCCTTAGGAAATTCACTTAAGCTTCCTTGAGCTCTTTTGTAATTAGTGAAATAGGAAGCAACATCAGATCATCTCTGAAGTCCCTGCCATTAATTATTTATACAGAGCGGACTCCGTCTTTACTGGACTCAAAGGCAGGGATCACCTGTAAGCGTGTATGCCCTAGAAACAAAGCTGGTCATGATTTTCCAAGTGCATTTTACACAATGACTGCCATCATGAAACATAGTGGGCATGTGGTGCTCAGGTGGCCAAAATCATGGAGTCAACCACATTAGCTTTGTTTAATGCCCCAACCTTGTCCCTGAGAAAGTGGTTGTCTTCTAATGCTAGGGGCCTTAGGTGGTGTTCTTTTACCCCAGTGGTTCTCAACCTTCTTAATGCTGCGACCCTTTAATACAGTTCCTCATGTTGTGGTGACCCCCAATTTCATTGTTGCAAATTGAACATAATTAAAGCATAGTGATTAATCACAAAAACAATATGCAATTATATATGTGTTTTCTGATGGTCTTAGGTGACCCCTGTGAAAGGGTCATTGGACTCCCCAAAGGGGTCGCGACCCACAGGTTGAGAACCGCTGCGGTGTTGGGAATTGTGTTTTCAAGAAAGCATTGCAGCTTCCAAGTTAAACTCATCGACAATGACTCACCTGGTTGCCTCCACTCTTGGGGTTCACAAACACAAGCAAGGGTTTCATGAGAGGAGAAGAGATAGGTTTTATCACAAAAGGACGACCTTTGTTTTCCGGCTGAAGGAAGAAAACAGCACAACTAAGATGCACATCCATGACTTGACAGGCAGCCCCAAAGCAATTGGAGTGAGAAACCGCCAGCACCACCCCAACCCTTACAAAAAAAACAAACAAAACAAACAAAACACCCCCCACAAGGTACAACTTGTTTCATAGGGTTTACTCTTAACAGGACACTCTGTGTAAAGCTTAGAAGAAAGTTTCTCAAGGTATAATTTGCTGAGAATTGAGCCATACTTTTGGTTTTATTCTGTATACCCTAAGCATTCTGGAAGTGTTAGCTCTTTATCATCTTTGGGATAACACTTCCATGGACAAGTGCAGACGCTCTGTGAAGTGGCAGAGGTTATATTTTTTAAAATACTAAGAATTCCACATGTTAGCGTACGGTGAAGGAGAAAAGAGTGGGAGACATATCGAAACAACAAGCTTGGGCAGGCTATGGAAAGGAGGACGGATTTCATTGGACCATGATCCTGAAACACTTACTTCAGTTCCCCTTTTACTGGCTTTTCTTTTAAAGCTCGTTCTCTTCTTCTTACGATTGGAAGCCTTCAGCGAGTTCTGTGAGGAGAGAAGGACAGACCTGAGCTCGGGGCAGACAGCCCCCGAGCTTTCCCATGCAGAACCATGTAGAAGGTGACGGCAGCACATGCTGTTGGGCTGCATGCTTCTCATGCTTTGACACTTCCAAGCCACTGTGCATGGGTAAGCCACAGACAGAAATCAGTCGAGTGCTTCAGAGTGAGCAACTGACTCCCCACCACACGGAGAGGCAGGGAGTTAGAACCCTGGAGGCTCTCATGGACTCACATAACAACACATGTTATACCTGCCAACCCTCCCAGTAAAAATGGAAGAATCCCAAATTCTCTGAGGGGCTCCAGTCTCCCGCCCAACCAGGTCCGTCTCCCGCCCAACCAAGTTCAAGTTCAACTCCTGGTATGGAGATCACCTATGTGGAAATGTAAAAAAGGAGGCCATTTTTCATGCTTTTTCTTTTTCCTCTGTTTACTTTGTTCTGGGTAATGTCTCTTTTAAGTAATGGTCATAACTTACTCATCTGTAATGGAACTTTATGATCCAACTATCCTATCAGCATTGATGGCTGGGTTTTAAAATGCAGAGATAAGACTCACCCTTAAGTTAGTAAAGTAGCAGTCATTATTCTTTCTTTCTTTAAAGACCCATTAGTTTATAAAAAGTCTTCCCTCTCCTGGAGCCTTGATTTTTTTTTCTTCTCACAAAAGTGCCTCCAACTTGTTGAAATACAGTGACCCCAAATTTACTTTCCCTGTCTTTCTCTTTCTAGGAGTTTTATAGACCACAACTTTGTGATTACTCTTAATATTTGATACATATGCTTTGAAAAGAACTTCTCTTACGAGGCCAGTCACAGTTTATTCGTTGAAGACCAGCAAAATGAGATTTAATTAGTGGAGTCAATAATTAATTAGATTGCCATGTTCACAAAGCAAGACATTACTACCACATTGCAGATGTTTAACAGAGTGCTGAAAGCCTGAAATACAGAATTCTTAACTTAAAATTTTATATAGTATATACACATGCATTGCTTGAGCAATTAAGAGTTTTCAAACAGCTTGAAGAAAATTAGATATCTATTCTATCATTTAGAGTATCTTTTTCAAAATAAAATTAGTCTAGAGTACATATATTAACACATCCAAATCAGCAAGATTGAAACTATTTAGCTTGTATTTTTCTTTCACTTGGACCTCGAGAAAAATAAGTTGATTTATGCCTTTCTCACCAAGGGTAAAGGAAATTTTCTTGAAGCACCATGGTCTCAAAGTTTGTTCCCCCATCAGAATAAGAGTTTTCGGTTTTCTGTCTCAG